CCCACCCCCCACCATCCCCAGTGACACACGAGCAAAGCCTTAAAGAGCTTCAAAACATCATTTCTTGGAAAAAAGATATTTTCTGCTTCTGAAGAGAACGGACTCGTCTGCATCAGAGGAAGGTACCTGCCAATTTCCGCAGCACACGGGCTGGGGCTCTCTCTTTGACACACCCAGCAAAAATAAACCACCCTCGACTGCTAAAAGCCTAAAATAAACGGAGAAAAAGAAAACAAAAAGTCCACCCGAGCACCGGTGCTCAGCTTCTGTAGCACCACCGTGGGTTTAGACCCACATTACTATTTCTTCCACACTCAAAAAAAAAAAAAAGAAACAAAAGCCACATTGATATATTGATATAAGCCCTCGTTATCTACCGAGACACACCAACCCCCAACCCAAGCAAGAACACCACCAGAAAGGGAAGAGGAAGAGAGCGGCGACTTCATTGTCTGCATTTCCACCCCTACCCTCGGCGCTTCGCTCGAGACAGGCAAAAAAAATAATAAAAAAAAGAAAACAAACCAAAACCTTTTCAAAATTAGCTCGGCCGCCAGAAAGCGGAGGAGAAATGTCATCTTTCCAACTCCTCCAAAGCACCGCTCCCCACCCGACCACATGAAAGGCCAACGCCGAACGTGACATCACCCAGATGACCTTATCCTAACGGCGTTGAGAGGGACCCGCCGCCGAGCGACAGCCACCAGCAGGAAGCCACAGCCCCAGCAGAAAGAAAGACAAGGGCTTTCCACGCAGGAGAGGACCCACAGGCGGGTGGGTGGCTCCTTGCCACCACCTCGCTGCCACCCGAGCTCCCACTTTGGTCTCTGCCAGCGCCAGGAACGGCCTCGGCCCACGCCCTTCTCTGCAAAACCAGCGATTTAAGGTCCTTTTCCCCCCCCCCCCCCCCAAAAAAAGTCTTTGTCCAAACACAGGACAAAGCTCCTGTGGTGAAAAGCAGCTTCTTGCTTAAGGCCACAGCCCTGGTGTCACCGAAGAACAAACCCTCTGACAACACCGGCCTGGACTGGGCCCACGGGCCCCAAACCCTGGGCAGGGCCAGACCCCTCACCAGGGCCTGGGACCCTCCACCGAGGGCCGGGGTCCCCCTCCCCGGGACAGGGCCAGGCCCTTCACTGGGGGCCGGGGTCCCCACTCCAGGCGGGGCCGGGGTCCCCACCGGGGCCCCCCACCTCCCCAGGATGGGGCCTGACCCCCAACCGGGGCCCGGAGCCCTCCACCGGGGTCCCCCACCTTCCCGGGCCAGGGCCAGGCCCTCCACCGGCGCCCGGAGCCCCATAGGGAGGGGACCAGGCCTCCACCGGGGCCCCCCACCTCCCAAGAACAGGGCCGGGCCCCCCACCGGGGACCCCCATCCCCCGGAACGGGGCGAGGCCCCCCCACCAGGGCCCGGAGCCCCACCGGGAGGGGGCCAGGCCTCCACCGGTACCCCCCACCTCCCCGGGACGGGGCCTGGCCCCCCACCGGTGCCCACAGGCCCCCACCCCGGGCAGGGCCAGGCCCTCCACCGGCGCCCGGAGCCCCACCGGGAGGGGGACAGGCCTCCACCGGGGCCCCCCATCCCCCGGGACGGGGCCTGGCCCCCCACCAGGGCCCACCCCGGGCAAGGCCAGGCCCTCC